AAGCATTCGCCATGTGCAGTAAAACTATTGGGTTTTTGAATACATGATGGCGAGCTAAAAATGGACTAAATAATGAATTCTAACTTGTTTCTAGGTTGATAACCTCATATGAACCTTCCTGCAGCTGTCATTAAGAGCCAAGCCTAAGGGATGGTTATTCTCAAAGGGACACTCTAGACACCTAAATGAATTTAGTTTGAGTGAGTCCTCTTTTCTTAATTTCACAAAATGTGCAAATGTAAATGAAATTGTCACTTTGATGATTGAACCTTGTTACACCCCCTTGGCTGTCAGACAGCTGGTCCTGTTACTTCCTGGTTGTTTAGCTCAGTGGAGCTAAACTCAAGAAGCAGCAAGGGCACCTGCCTTGCAAAGATTTCTCATTAAGCTGCATTGGAATGTCTGTGATTGGACAGCCACAGAAAGTATGGGCTGGTGTGTGACAGACCTTCTGTCCCTGTAGTTGTAAAGTCTATGTTACCCTTTTGCCTATCCATGCGACCAAATACAGCTATGCCCTATACCACCAATTGTCCGTTCGATTAACGAAAGAACTACCGAACAACCGACCACCCAGATGCGGAGTGTGGCACTCGTTAACCTTATTGTCCCCTCCTAACACCTCCAAAACCGCAAACACCCCAACGTTCTAAGCGGTTGGCTGGATTGTCGGCGTTCATATACCCGAACATGTGGCGGTGGCCATCTTGGAATACGAATTCGGCCAGCGGTGTTTGGTTGTTGAGTGCATGGAACTAGAATTGGATACTCACTGGCGCGAACACCGCTAAGACTTCCATGTCCACAGATGTTTGGTGTTATACACACGAAAAGAACGGTGTTCGGTAAGAACATCTTCCGAACCACCAGGATTATGAGAACGGATGTATGAACAGTTATTTTCCCTACAGACAGATAGGATATGCTTTTTATTGGGATATTATGTGTTTTGGGGGTACTTTCAGATTGTTTATAAATTATGTACCTTTTTCGCCTGGAGATAATTGAGTTGAGACCGTAATTGACTCAATTAGCTCCAAGGCAGAGGGGAGGGATTGTATGACCTGTACGGGAGTGTCACACTGTATAACCATGTTATTATTGGTTGATAATTCTGTATCCTAGTCCCCCACAAGGTCCATGTGGGAGTACCCCTTGTATGGGAACTTGCATAAAAGGCCAGTGTGGTCACCATTAAACCAGTTTTACTTCACCCTCAACACAGAGTCTTGTCTCTTGTTGTAGAGAACTGCTGTACAAGCTATCAATACTAGCTCTTATAAGAGCTTCACACCAATACCTGCTTCTCGACTTGGATGACTACTTGGGAGAAGGACGTCTCTGGCGGTGGAAACCCCTCTACTCTTCGGGATGACCGCTACATGGGGAATAATGGGAGGGTTTTCAAAGGCTGCAGACAAGAGATCTGTGGCTTTTGCAAGCTGTTTTTTTAAGATATAGCCCTAATGAAAATATACAGCAATAAACACACTCATGTTTTCACTGAGGTTATAGCGACTAAATTGTTAAAAAATATATAAAAACATTTTTCCATTAGTGTTCCTTTAATCAGGCTATTTTTTGTGTATTGGGAGACTGCTCATGAAGTTTCACAAATTATTGTTTAAACTGTATTAAAACAATACAAATTATAGAATAAAAAGATACAGACTTGAGCAAACAGCATTACAGAGATACATTAGTTAGCATGTGCTGGGCTCCGTATGTGCATTCGGATCTGTAAAGACTTTGATAAATGTAACCGTATCCAGATATAAACTTAAATATAAAATCCCATCTGCAACCCAGTGATAAAACCCAAATGTCCAAGAATGCAATGAAAGTGGGCACAATGTAATTATTGCTGTAAGAGATATCCTACATCTGTTATATTTCATTATGTAATATCTGGACACATTCTGTCTCCCAGTTCACTATAGACTTTATTAAAGAGGTTATAAACTGTCTGGCTATACTTCGGTGTTTACTCCCCTATTCACATGTGGCTATACTGCAGCCTTTATCCCAAATTTGGTGCTTACCTTCCATTCCCCACCTGAAAAAATGAAGTCAGTTGAGCAACTTTTGCCACCAGTCTGATATCCCTGAGATCTACATCCATCAACCTCCATCCTCAAAAACCGCACTAAATGTTCATTTATAATTGTATATGTCTATTATAGGCATAACAATGTTTTTATAATTGTACTGTATGTCTATTGTATGTGTAAATTGTATGTATTGTATATGTCTCCTATTATATGTGCAACAATGTATTTATTTGTACTCTCTAGGTCATTCTGAAAAAAGAGTTCAAATGTATCATTCCTTGTAACATGTTTTACAAATAAATAAATGTCTGTCTTGACAGTATGGTGTACCCTAAAATCTCTGGTATAAGTACAGGGTTGTTATATGTGCTAGTGATAGTTGTATTTTTGTAACATCTAGTTTATTTTTTAATTCAATTTATATTTATTGGTAAATTGGGAGGGATGTGCCTGGAGGAGCCAAATTGGGTAGATGAATCAGGGTAATAGGGTTGGGGCCATGACTTGGAGTAATATTAAAGGAGGTATGGTTGGGGGGGAATTGGGTTTTGCATTGAGGGATACATTAGGATGCAATGGGCAATGAGAAGACACAATATATCTACAAACTTTGGGTTCAGTGGCAGAACACTAGTTGAGGGACACAGAGGGTTGGGAATTTCACTGATGAGACAGTAGAAATGACATTAAATTACTAAGGCGAAGCAAAGGAAGTAACCTGTGGCTGATTTTGGTGGGTGGAACTGCCATAGACTATAATACTGGTCTAAAACCCCAGTTGGAAGTTCATGTTGTGGAGACTTGAACACAATGTGTTCCCTTAATCATTAGTAGCAAAGGAAAATCTGATTTTATACTGCACTGAGCGATGCATTGTGTTGGTGTGTCTTTATGAGGTACGATGGGGAGCACTGTGTACTTGGACCCAAGCATCATAATAGAAGAGGAAGTAAAAAAAAATCATTAGGGATGGGCTTTTACTAAGAAATTGTTCACGTACTCTTCCCGAAAGAATATATCAAGCCCCACGTTATTGTACCAGTAAAAGTGATACACTATCGTACCAATACCATCTTTAAAATATGTTTTGTTTGTTTTTCTACTGTTTAAAGGATAACATAACATATGTACTTATAACAGCTGTAACACCACAAAACCTGCTGTGAATATCAAACCGTATGGAACTGTCTCAATATTATCCAGACTCTATTATTGCTTGGTTGAGTATTTTCAGTTTTTTATTTTTTTCCCATCTCATACATCAACATTGATACAGCCCAACAGATATTCCAGGATGTTGTTTTTATACTTTGTGGGATACTATGAATTGATCAGTTTTACCCCACTTTATTAAAGGAGCACTATGGCATTAGAAATACAAACATGGATGAATAAACTCACATCCCTGGTCCATGACACAGTCAAAAAGTTCTTTGCACTTCCTTTTAAGGGGTAATTTATACATTTTTCCCCCCCCCTTTTAGCCACACAGGTATTTACTGCAGTTTTGCATAATTTTTTAGTCAAAACTTTCGGTAAGATTTGGGACTTATGGGAACAATTTCTAGAGGAAACAGGGAGATAGACGGAGGAAGGGCCTGAAGGGCATTAAGAGGCAGGGCACACAACCCAAAACCCGCCCCGCGCCATGGGATCAATTTTATGTATGGATAACTGGAATGAGAGGGGTGTATGAGATAATGGCCCTCATAATAACACCAAAGGAACACAGTTTAACACGGAGTACATATTTACACTGGGCAGAGGAACACTCAGGACGACGGACACCACATACCACACAGGCTAGCGGAAGGGTAAACCCCTCCACGAATCCAAGACCAGTAAAACCAGGTTATGTTCAAGTTAAAAAAAAAAAAAAAAAACAGAAGACAGCAGCACTCACACACTGACTCATTTCATGCCTTAACCATTTAGTATTCCTTTCTGTATTAACTACTTGCTTGTTGATTGAACGAAACCGTGCACACTATGTCAAAGTTGTGAAACTGTTTTGACTGTCGCTGAAAAAAGAGAATAAAAAAAAAAAAAAGAAATACAAACATGTATTCCTAACATCAGAATTGAACTAGTTAAGTTAAGGTGTAAAAATAAATATCAGTGTTGCAGTTATAATTAAACAAAAAAGCCCTGTTAAAATACTTTAATATGTGATAGACTATTGGGACCTGCCCCTATTCATCCCACCCCCCCCTATAAAAATTATCTGGTGTTTTCTGGCCCATTCCCGCTACCTACAACAACCATGCTTCCAGCTCAGCTACCAACCTTACCTAAAGTATGCAATTCTCTCATCATTCTCATAAGTTCTTTGCAAATACAAGCTAAGTGAAAATTCTTATGTGTGAAGTCTTGCAGTGTCGTTGTCCATCGGTGAATTACAAGACCAGATGAATTGTAATGGCTTAAAGTTTACTAGAGGAACACTGAGGTCAGGTGGACAAAACAGAGGAAAACTGTGGGTCAGAGTTAACACACAAATGCATAAACAAGAGAATGTCATAAAGCCAAACAAGGTCTGAAGTAATATCAAAAGTATCACAGTTGACATGGTTTGGCAGATGATGGAACCTTACCAGTTGTAGTGCCAGACCAGATTACTGGCATGCTTACTAGATTAAAATTAGATTTTGGAATCTCATTGTGATGGTCTCAGTTCACTGCATTGATAGTTCATATCAGAATGAAGACTTCAGGACCCATTGAGATGTTGATCCAGCAGTACTTGGCACGGATGAAAATTTAGTGAATAAGCTTTCCAGTAGTGTAGATGATTTGGGAACAACGGTTTCTTTGCCTGGATAAAAACAAATCTGATGTTATCTATCTTCATGTCTCTGCAGGTCAGGTTAATATAGAAATAAAGATGCTCAATGGAACCCTTTGTTGATGTACCTGTTGTGCAATCACAATATAGTTATTTCAGAACTCCTTGTTTCTACCCTTCAATATAGCTTCTGGAAATCTGCTATACTTAAACGCTGAACTGTCACTTCTCTTCCCGTTAAAACACTATTGAAGTGCTTACTAGGCTGAGGAGTGCAGTGAAGCAAAGGAAAAAAATGCATTGTTTAAGAAAATGTTATCACCCAATGATGCCAGAGGGCTATAGCCAGGCATACAATGCAATTAATAAACATTGTTTCAGAATTAAAACAAAATATAGCACAACCCATAGCTAATATATGATATTTTTACCACAAAGATTATGTGGATAAATGTAACATTGATATAGGAGACTGCTGCGGGTGCTAGCAGGCAATTAGCAGAGCAGGAGATAAGAAATTCTAAATCAAATACACTGTGCAAAAAAGGAAGGTAAATAAATTATAGTATCTTTCAGGACGTGTATATGAAGGCTGTGTGAGTCTCAGCCAAGGGAGGTGTGGCTAGGGCTGAATAAACAGAAATCAAAGTGATTTAACACCAAAACGGCACAGAATTGAGCAGTGAGACCGTAGGGCATGATCAATACACTAAAACCGCTTCATTAAGCTAAAGTTGTTTTGGTGCTTAGAGTATCAAGCTCTTTTTGTCATGGTTTTTTTGTTTGTTTTTTTGGAGTTCAGAACAGTGGAGGGATTAGGGGCGCATGAGAATTCTGTGCCTACAGATGCATCTTAATACTATGATACCACCTTTGCCTATCGTTCCAATTTTTGTAGATTTGATTAAAGTCTGGACAGTTCATACTTGAAACCTTCTGAAGTACACATGTTCTTCCCAAATCACTGATTTTATCTTGTTGTAAGGGCTCTGTGAGACAGCATGTCACATAACAAGTAAACTATTTCATACAAAGCCAGAAAAACAACAGAGAACCTGATCTCCATATCATAAAATGAGCACTTCTTTGCACATTTCGTCAAAGATTTGAAATCAGAAAAACCATTTACAAAAAGACAAACAAAACTCTCTACACCTTCCTCAACAGCATATGCATCCATTCAGCTTATACACCATGTTGGACTTGGACCCACTCTCTTTAATATTTTTATTAGTGATATTGCAGAAGGTCTTGATGGTAAGGTATGTCTTTTTGCTGATGATACTAAGATATGTAACAGGGCTGATGTTCCAGGAGGGATAAGCCAAATGGAGAGGATTTAGGTAAACTAGAAAAATGGTCAGAGTTGTGGCAGCTGACATTTAATGTGGATAAGTGCAAGATAATGCATCTTGGACGTAAAAACCCAAGGGCAGAGTACAGAATATTTGATAGAGTCCTAACCTCAACATCTGAGGAAAGGGATTTAGGGGTGATTATTTCTGATGACTTAAAGGTAGGCAGACAATGTAATAGAGCAGCAGGAAATGCTAGCAGAATGCTTGGTTGTATAGGGAGAGGTATTAGCAGTAGAAAGAGGAAGTGCTCATGCCATTGTACAGAACACTGGTGAGACCTCACTTGGAGTATTGTACACAGTACTGGAGACAGTATCTTCAGAAGGATATTGATGCTTAAGAAAGAGTTCAGAGAAGAGCTACTAAACTGGTTTATGGATTGCAGGATAAAAAAAAAAAAAAAAAACACTTACCAGGAAAGGTTAAATTAACTTAACATGTATAGCTTGGAGGAAAGACGAGACAGGGGGGATATGAAAGAAACATTTAAATACATAAAGGGAATCAACACAGTAAAGGAGAAGACTATATTTAAAAGAAGAAAAACTACCACAACATGAGGACATAGTCTTAAAGGACCACTCTAGGCACCCAGACCACTTCAGCTTAATGAAGTGGTCTGGGTGCCAGGCCCAGCTAGGGTTAACCCATTTTTTAATAAACATAGCAGTTTCATAGAAACTGCTATGTTTATTAATGGGTTAAGCCTTCCCCCAAAGCCTCTAGTGGCTGTCTCATTGACAGCCACTAGAAACGACTCATGATTTTCACAGTGCGCTCCAGCGATCCATAGGAAAACGCCCAAGTATATGGAGCCGACTGAATGCGCACGCAGCTCTTGCTGCGCGTGCGCATTCAGCCGACGGGGCGGAACGGAGGAGGAGAGAAGGAGGAGAGCTCCCCGGCCAGCGCTGGAAAAAGGTAAGTTTAAACCCCTTTCCCCTTTCCAGAGCCGGGCGGGAGGGGGTCCTGAGGGTGGGGGCACCCTCAGGGCACTATAGTGTTTTCCTGGCACTATAGTGGTCCTTTAAATTAGAGGGGCAAAGGTTTAAAAATAATATCAGGAAGTGTTACTTTACAAAGTGGGTAGTGGATGCATGGAATAGCCTTTCAGCTGAAGTGGTAGAGGTTAACACAATGAGGGAGTTTAAGCATGCGTGGGAAAGGCTATCCTAGATTTAAGATAAGGCCGTCACATTCTATGTTTCTATGTTGGATGTAGATAGAATTAAGAAGACTGCCTCTTTCAATTTCTGCTTTATTCACATGATGGAGTCCAACAATCCTGTTCTGACTACTTTTCCAGACTGAATATTGTGTCACTATAAACCTCTCAAACTTTTACAGCTGAGGCTACACTGCAGGCTTTACGTGATGGCGATTATTAGGTATAAAAGTGCCCCCAATTACTCATGGAAAAACTCATATTATTTGAATTTTCCCAATAGATAGAATGCATGTAATATTAAAAATGTTGATTTAAAAAAAAAAAAAAAAAAAAAAAAAAAAAAAAATGAACTAGCTCCAAAGTTCTACTTCCAGGGAAAGGGGTTTTTTTTACAGTAAGAAAAATAAGCACGGAAAATTCTCTGCCTGAAGAGGTAGTTTTATCGAGTCTATACAGATGTTTAAACAAAAATGCTTGTTCAAACATGAATATTTGCAAAAAACATAATATTCAGGGGGTAACAGCTTCTTGATCCAAGCAGAGCTCTGAATGACATTCTGGGGTCAAGAAGGACTTTTCTCAGAGTTTATTGCAAAATTAGAAAGTGCTTTAAACTTTTTTTTGCCTTATTTCGTAACAGTAAAAATGAAGTTTGTCTCTTTTCAACTTGTGTAACTATATAACTATTTTGACCTTAAATTTAAAATTCACTCAGAATTCCTACTTTAGTAGATAACCGTTACAGTGGTTTTTCATTTTGTTCATTGCACCTTTGGAACCTCCCCTCCCTCACTGATGTACGTTTGGCTAATAACCTAAAAATTTCAGTTTATTTTGTTTTGAAACTCCCTTTTTATAATTAACATACCTACTTCTGTTAAAGTTATTAATGTCCATATTGAAGTACACAACAAGAAAGCAGCACAATGCCTTTCACAACAGTGATATCTGATTGTACCATGGGCTAGAAAAAAACCAAACATTCTTGTGAGGGTGGAGATACAGTATCAATAGGACAGTAGCAGATACGACTGATCGATTGCTGGATGATACAAAACCCTATAGAATATTATAGTTTGATGAATTACATGAATTTCAGATAGCCCTGTAAATGTATTATTCTCTGTTGGAATACGTGTGTTGCAAGTAAGAAAAGGCTTTTAAAAAAAATATATACTACCACCTAATAAAATTTGCAACTCTCTTTCTCTGGTTCTTCATACAGTTTATATAATTCTATTAAACATAGCTGGAGATGTTTAACTGTAACGTGCCTCGGTTTATATACTGTGGCGTGCTCTGCATTTTTGATTCTAGTGTATTTTGGGTCTTCTGCTTTGTATTTTAATGCTGTTTAAAGTATATGGCTGCACTTTTCCTGTTAACACTGTTCGTTTCTGTCTAATGTCTTCTTTTAAAACCTCTTAAAGGGACACTATAGACTCTTGCATTGCAGCACTAAGACAGCCTCTAGTGGCTGTCTACCAGTCAGCCACTGGAGGCGCTTCCTGCACCGTAACGGACCTTAGGTCTGCGTGAGGACATCCAGCGTCCGATTTTTCCCAATAGAAAAGCATTGATTCAATGCTTTCCTATGGGGAGGTCATGCGCATTAGCGCCCGCTCATTGCAGGACGTGCGAGGAGGCGGAGCCACGACCCAGCACTGAGGGACATCAGCACTGGGTTAAGATGAGTAAATAAAAGCAATTGAACACTTTTTTTAACCCAGGTTGGAGTGGAGAGGGGTGTGACGGAGGGGGTAGGCAAAGGGAGCTATAGTGCCAGGAATACACCTTTGTTTTTCTTAATTTTTTTTATTCTATTACCAACAAATTATAAACTGCTAAATACAATAAGCAAAAATATTTGAATAATTACCATGGATTTCCTAAAATATCATGTATGAAAAATTCCCAAAACTGTACAAGGAAAACATATTTAGCATAGAATGCCAATCCAAACACCAAACACTTACTTGTAAAAATCTATGAACAGGTTCTGTTTAACATGAATAATGGAGTCCAATCAGTGTAAAACTCAGTAAACAACCTTAAAAAGGGACACTGTAGGTACTATAATAATTTCACGTGATTGAATTGGCTATAGCGCCTGGAGTTCCCAGGCACTAGTGATGTCGCGAACCCGAAATTTTCGGTTCGCGAACGGCGAACGAGAACTTCCGCAAATGTTCGCTGAACCGTGAACAACCAGCATCGTGACTTCAATGGGGGTAGAATTTTAAAACACACAGGGACTCTTTCTGGCAATAGGGATGGAAAAGTTGTTTCAAGGGACTAACACACCTGGACTGTGGCATTACGGAGGATCCATGGCAAAACACCATGGAAAGAAATTACACGATTTGATACAGGTCTACTGGTTTTACGTCCATAAGGGCAGAAATCACCTACTTGTTTCCTAAATCACAATCCAATATGGATTGACACCACGACATATGAGCATGTTGACACACTTGTTGCTGGATTGACACCTGTCCTCAGAACCCCTGATACACACTGACACAGAGCAGAATAGAGACTGTTCCCCCTACATAGGGTCACTTGGCAGATATGGATTGACACCTGTCCTCAGAGACCATGATACACACTGACACAGAGCAGAATAGGGACTGTTCCCCCTACATCGGGTCCTTGGCAGATATGGATTGACACCTTGTTACAAACTGCTATTTGTAACTGGCCCTTTAAATGGCAAATTGCCCTGCTTCCCTGGGTTGTGGAGAAGCCTATTTGCCAGCCTCCTCCCGCATGACTATGGCCCCTGGGAGATTGTGAAAATGTGTGCACTTTTATTTGGTGTGTATGGCCCTTTAAGACTGTCGGT